ACCCAGCGCTGGGTTACGTATTGGGTTATTTTTAACCCAGCAGTTTTTACTGTGCACCGGCCTCACCTGATAGCTCTGGCGAACAGAGCCGTTGTAGAAACAGAAGAGGTTGATGAGATGATCCAGGAGCTCACAGACACTGACAGTAGGGAGTTCCATGGAACAACCAAGAGCCTTAGAGAGAACACACACAAAAAAACATACATGGTTGAAAAGTAATGCAAAAAAAAAACCCCTGTAGATTAAGTTGCAGCCTTTGGAGAGCTCTTACCCAGAAGAAGTCATCCTTGATGCGGATGGCGAACTTGCAGCGACGCAGCCTCAGGATGCGTACAGCGGAGGAGGAAAGCTCAGAGACACAGCGGCCCACTCCTGCAAGCTGACCACACAGCAGGTCCTGCTTGTCCACAGGAGTCTGACATGTCAAAAGGGACAAAAAGCCTTTAGAAATGGATGTGATTATTTATCACAGTGTCTGCGCATCCTTAAAAAGTCTGAAAATTCATCCAAAATGAAGGTCTTAAATTTGACTTGCTGAAACCTACGGATACCCTGTTAGTATTTCATGGTTTCTGACACACCTCCTCGGGGTAGAAGTAGCAGATGCCATCCCTGGTGGGGTCCCCCTCTCCTCTGACCTTAGATCCGTCATAGAGGAAGAAGTATCTGCACCTGCAACACCAGCAAACAGTCCTTTCAAGGTGCTGGAGGGGATTCAGAGAAAAGTAAGCTGTCGCTCTGAAGCCAGGAAGTCACAGCAGTACAGATGAATGTGTAGGACAGGTTAGGTGCGGAGTTGGTTTTACAGATTAAATGGATCTGGAAAGGGTCTGATCAGAACCAAAACGTGAACGAATCCGATCAGATCTTACCTCCTTGTGTCTGGCGGCTTGAGCTCAGCCATAAGTTTTCCTCAGTGGTCGATCATGGGTTTCCTCCTGCAGGCTGAAGATGCACTTTGACTGAAGCTATAGCGGCGAATCCGATGCGTAGAATCGCTCCCGCAGAACGCAAACTGTCCGTCGTCTGCGCAAACAAAACACAAAAAGGGAAGAGCGGGCAGTTTCCTCAACTTTAAATGTCACTTAGCGACTCTTTCTGTAAACATAAACTAACTTGTGAAGCTAACAGTGACACTTGAGGAATGCAGGGCAGTCACACGCAGTAGGAGTCATGTGAAAGTATGGGAAGCACGGAAGGACAAACTTATGCGGAATTCAGACGGCGTTTTCGCAGAGATTATTCTCATTATAGCTTGATTTTATATCAACAGTTTGGCATGGAAATAACTTCCTGAATTGGTTTTAAACTGCTCCTATATTAGTTGATTTGTTGTGTATAAATTACTCTGTCATTATTGTAGTGTGACTCTAGAAGTTGATCTTTACAAATTTAAAGACAAAAGGAATTGTCATTAACTTGGATTGCCTTAGTTGACATGTTTGTCTTTAGTATTAGCACTGTTGCAAACAGGAACTTTATAACCTACAAGTCTTGTAGCAGTTTTTAACTTCTATCAAGGTGTTGTATTCATTCATCATAATTCAATCAATTTAAACAGAGCCAGTGCTGGAAACCAAATGACAAATTAAAAAAAACAGTTGGCTGAACCAGTTTCTCCTAATATTTGTAGTCGTGTTGTACTAATAGAGTGAATGTGATGCTTTTTGTGGATGGTTTGGCTGTTTTTTGTCCTTACAATGCCTCCAGCAAACCAGTTCCCATTAGGATATCAATAAAAACTGAACTGAACCATCAGTTCAATTCTAATCAAAATATTAAGATGGAGTTTTTCTACACTCATTCATGTTATTACTAATATTCTATTCGTTAATGGAAATTAATTTTTTAAAAATATTCCAATTTATAAATCATTT